AGAAACCCTATGATAGGTCCACCTTAGGATCACCATAAATTGGAAAGAACAGTGGACTGTCTTGTATTCACGATTGCAATTTAGGCTGCATCCACAGTGCAGAAATGATGCAGTTTTTGGCACCGCTTTAACTGCCACATCTCCATGTTGTGCGATTCTGGGATGATGTGAGGCCAATTTCAGCGATGCCACTGCCTGCCCCCTTTAATTTTTATTTGGGGAGAAGTACCCTCATTTCCCCCCAATAGATACACCCCTAGGTTCAACCCAGACCATTCCCAAATTGTTTGCCAGGACTCAGCAGCGCCTCTTCGCTATTTCCAGAGTGTGCCATGAGGACATCCTTGGTGCTGACATGTACCAAAACACTGTGCTCCCAAAATGATATTCCTTTGCAGAAAACGATGCCCGAGAGGAAGGGAGGGCCAGGTTGGGTCCGCGTTCAAGTTGAAACTGATCTCCCAAGCAATGGAGGGAAGGAAGGTGGCAACACCCAAACCGTGCCAACCTCCCAATGAGCTTTGCATGCCAAGGGCAAGACATCATAAAGAGCAGTAAAGGCAGACCCTGAGGATGCCCAAGGCGAGGAGGCAAAGCCGAGAGGCCATGAGCTCATTTGGCCTCCGTGCCAAACCTCCACCTTCTCAGAGATGGAAACTGGGACGGACACGTGGGGTGAAGATGGCAAATGTTGTCTCCAAGGAACGATGCACAAGCTAGGAGAGGCTGCAGCAGTTTACTTTTGCCTCGGTTAATAGAGAAAGGAAAGATATTGCTCCCTCCTCGCTTCCACACCCCTGGTTCAGTTCATGTTTGCAATTGGGATGGAGTTTGCAGCAACTGAAGCAAGCTGAGGACAAAAGGAGGAAAGAGGGAGGAGGAGGAGGAGGAGGAGAGAGAAACTGGGGTGTTTTAAAAGCAGCTGGAAAAGTAGGGTGGAAAAGGATTAATCAGGAATATCCCTCCCAAATTGGGAACATTGGTGGGTTCGCAATGGAAATAAGCTGGAGAAAGTGGGAAGAAGGAAGAGAAACTGGGACGTTTTAAAAGCAGCTGGAAAAGTGGGAAGGCAGAGGATTAATCAGGAATATTCCTCCCAAATTGGGAACATTGGTGGGTTTGCAATGGAAATAAACTGAGGAAAAAGGAGGAAAGTGGGAGGAGGAGAGAGAAACTGGGACGTTTTAAAAGCAGCTGAGGAAGTGGGATGGAAGAGGATTAACCAGGATTGTCCCTCCCAAATTGTGGCAATTGAAAAGTATGCAAAAATCCCCTTGTTCTTTCCCGGTTCATCATGGGCTTGTGACTTCTCAAAAGGAAACCAAGCAGCCCTTCCTAGGCCTGTTCGGTTGGAGCAAGTCGGGGGCATAAATCTTGCCCTTGTCTCAGCCTGGCACCTTCCTTACCTCATTGCCGTCCTCCACCCAGTCGGCCGGCCCTACATTTCGAGTGGGAAAGGGGTATTAAAAAATTAGACGTCATTCTTCTGGCTTCATAAATCTGCTCCGATGAGGCAAAGTCAGACTTTTAACTTTACGAGTTTTAGAGATCATAGGGTGTCGCTTTTTGCCTCTGGAGCAAAAAAGATGCCCAAATGGGCATCTCAATGGAGCCTTCCTATATCAGCATTGATTGCTTTCCTAGCTTTTGTTCTTGCATTCATTGCATGGACAGATTTGGAAACAGTATGCAGCCATGACAAATTTAGGAACCTTTATGGCTTCCACAGGACTTGTGTCCAGACTTAGCTTTCTAGGTCCAGAGTTTAGAAAACATGCAGTTTGGTGGTTAATTTCTCATGGGGAAACTAGGTTCACCCATCTCTTCCAACATTTCATGGATAAAAAGTGGGGCATGTGTGGCCAGCCATCATCAGAGTATGATTAAGATAGCAAAAGGCATCAGTGAAGAAGAATGAACAAGCTAGGAGAATTTGCAGCAGTTTGTTTTTGCGTGAGACAACTGGGAAGGTCAATATTTTGGACAATATCCCTCCTCTCCTCTTCGCTGAGTTAGCGGAGTGAAAATTGCAAATTTCAAACTGAGTGAAAATTGTAAACTGCAAACTGAATGAAAATTGCAAATTGCAAATTGCAAACTAAGTGCAGGTAACAAACAACACCTGTTGAAATTCCTTCATCTACAAGGCACAAAAACCCCTCTCCAGTGTTCATTTCCAACCCTACAAGTTGTCCCTACAGTGTTCAACCCTACAAGGTTGACAATGGCCTCCTACAAAAGGGCACTCATGCTTGAATGGGAAAGTTCGGATGACTTCAAAATCAAACTTTTCCTGTTTTAGGAAGATGCAAAATCCAAAGCCCTTCCCAAGCAAAAGCCAATACAACCAAATAGGAGCCCAAAATCATTTTTTTTGGATCTCCATTTCCGCCTTCAGCAACCTGAGCTCCTTGCCTCAACTGATGGGAACATGAGATGACAGATGGAGATACGCCTAAATGGCTAAATACCTTTAATCCTCTTAAATGGGAGGCTGGGCTCCTCCTTTGCTGTCAAAAGGGAGTCGCTCGCTTCCCAGCCACCAAAGCACCTTGGATAGATCCTAAAAAGTCTGGGATAAAACCCAAAGCAGGTTCATCAATGGACATGGAAGCCACTGGCCACAACTGGGACAACCTCCCTTTGGGCATTGGCAAGCCAACCGGTCAATCCGTGAATTCAAATAAAGCATGAACACCAACCAGAAGGATTAAGGTGACACAGAAGCACACCATGCACACTTTGCAAGGCCTCACCGGTGCCACTTTGCCATTGGTTTGCCATTGCCTCCCCCTGAGGCTGAGAGCATGTGACGTGCCCAAGGTCACCCAGTGGGTTTCCACAGCGGAGCAGGGAATCGAACCCTGGTCTCCAGAGTCATGCTCCAACACTCAAACCACTACACCACATCAATGAATTTCTTGTTTAGACTTGGGTCCCAGCTCCAAGATATCACATTATGTATATGCAAATATTCCAAAATTGAGGAATCAAAACTGAAAATCCCAAACACTTCTGGTCCCAAGCATTTTGGATAAAAGGAAGATTCAACCATATATTTATAGGAAACAGAAATTCTGCTTTCTGGGTGTGTGATAGAAGAGAAACAGAGAGTGCCTGCTACTTATGTTTCCTATTTGCCACACCAGACACCATGAGCCTTATCACACAAGAAAACAAAGCGGAAATGGAGCCAGAGAGTAGTAGGTTTCTCCGTACCTTATTGCATGATGTCGTAACACTTCAGTTCTCTTCCCACAGGAGACGTTGGTAACAGCATCTCTTTTTCCTAGCTGGAAAAATCCGTTCAGCAAAAGGCATGCTTTTACGACAGTCTCCCGTGGGAAGAGAAT